CCAAAAATCACAACAATCACCTCAAGCAATTTACACATGAATTAAGCAACAAAACACACTTAAAATCCCTCTTAATTGCTACCGGAATTTCCCCCATTTTTCTGCAGAATTTCGGACACACAAGGCAGCAAACAAAATGGATAATTTAAGCCTTAAAAGGCTGTCACATACCAGAATTTTCCAGCTAAAACCGAAGCTGCAGTTGGGGAAGAGGCCGGCGGCAAGCTGTTGGGAAAGCTCACGGGTTTACCCAAAAATTGGAGGAACAAGAGTAATTAAAGTAAACCCATGGCAATTCAAAGCTAGAGAAGGGAGAATTCGAGCTATTTCTTACCAAAAAACCAAGCCAATTCGCCCCCACAAGGCAAGAGCAGCCGGCGGTGAAGAAGCAGAGCAAGGCAAATCCGGCTTTTCCAGCAGGGGAGGGAAGATTTCTGGGTTCTAGGTGTGTTCTAGAGCAAGAAGGAAGGAGAAATCTCCAAGCTTTCTCACTAGTTTCTCAAAGGTTGGCTGGGTTCCCTTTCTTTTTTTTCTCTCGGGTTGCAGCGGGAAGACAAGAGCAGAAACGGGCTGGAGAAGAAAAAGGAAAAGGGAGAAAAGAAATAAGCCATCCTTATCCAAATTCTCCTCTTTTAAGTCCTTCAAGTTTGGGAATGTTGGCTATTAGGCCCAAAACAATATTTTCTCACAATTTAATCCTTAACTTACACTTAAATATTCCCGAAAATTTGGGATATTACAGAAACCCCGATCATTTCAGAAAGAAACCCAAATCATTCCCCAAAAACCACCCTAATCATTTCGAAAAACACCCTAATCCTTGATCTTTCTGCGTTTCTTAAGAAGTGGGGCTCAGGGGATCGGGGAACTTGAAGTGGACCTGAGGCTCCCCTCCTTTTACGTTTGCCTTTCGTTTTGAAATTTTTTTTTTCTTTTGTGGCATCCAAGTGGACAACCCAAATGCTAAATCACTTGCCACATAGGCATGACATGGCAAAATGTTGCCACGCAAGCGAGGTCCTAATAGCAGTTAAGTTGGCCGTAAGAAGAAGGGCTAAATTGCACCGATCGCAGAGTTCAGGGGCTTATCTGCTTCAATTAAAGTCTGGGGGCTTAATTGCGATTCTGGGGTCGGTTCAGGGGCTTAACTTATGATTTTGCCAAGTGCTTTTGGAGTAGTCAGTCTGGCTCTGAACCTACGTGCCTATGACTTCGTTTCCCAAGAGATTTGTGCAGCGGAAGATCTTGAATTTGAGACGTTCTACACCAAAAATATTCCTTTAAATAGAAGTATTCTTGGATGGCGGCTCAAGATCAATGTCATGAAAACCTTATATTCTTTGAAAAGGTTATGCCACGTGCAAATGCTCTTTATTGGAACTTAAGCTGTAGCTGACCATGACTAAGAAGCCACTAGTTTCACTTGGCGGGCCGAGAATGCCCGCCTTATTAATTTTTCCAAAAAACTGATTGGGGTCTCATGTTGCCCATGCCAGATTAATTGTTTTCTGGGCCGGAGCAATGAACCTATTTGAAATGGCTCATTTTGTCCCAGAAAAGCCCATGTATGAAGAAGGATTAAATTTGGCAAAAGGTACCCGTTTGCCCTTAAAGATTTCAAATTTGAGGTGTTTTACCCCTTATATTTCAATATATAAATTTTTACCCTTTGTGATTTTTAATTTGAGGAAATAAGGCAATATTTAATGCTAAATGATCACGTGCTATACGTGCATCGTTATTTCCGTTATAAATTTACATGTCAGCGCCAACTTCGACTTTTTTTTACATGTCAGCAAGTTCAACTTGGATCCTTTCCAACAATTTTTTTTTTCTTCCTCCCTTTCCTTTTTTCCTTTCTCTTTCTTCAACTTCTGCAAATCCAAACATCTCCACTAATCTCTACCCTTGTGGCTTCATCATCATCATCAAATAACAAAACTCACAAACAAAACAAAAAAAAAAAAGAAATTTTTTTAATTTTCTGCGCCTGGGTTCGAAAGAACCCAGCGCCTGAGTTCTTTTGAACCCAAGCCCTGGGGTTCCAAGGAAGTAGAAAGAAAGACAAGCAATTGAAACAAAAAAAAGAAAGAAAAAGAAAAATCCAGATCACAAACCATAGCAAGATTAAAATATAATATAAATCAACAACATCAAATCAAGCCAAAAACACCAACCATCCTTCTCTCATGAGTTTTTGATTCAGTAACAAACACCCAGCAAACAAACACAATCGATTTAGTAACAAACACCCAGCAACCAAACGCAAAACCCATATAAAACTCACTAAACACAAG